GTCTTTTTTTGTAATTCTTGTAAGCTCGCTGGATAACTACTACATAGAAATTCTCAAACTGATAGTTGTATTGTCTCAAAATCAAGAATCCCCAAGATCGCTTCATAGATCTTCCTGAAATACTTTATTAAAATAGTTATACAATATATTGGAGGATCTAATCCAAAATAGACGGATCATGCATAGTGATTTTATCCCGCATAAATTATGCAGGTGATACATTTCACAATTATACTAGGCAATCATGTATGCAGATTATATAGCGCAAAAAAAAATAAAGTATAAGTTATACATTGCGCTTCTGGCTAAATAATATTAATCTTCAGTTAAAAGCAATAGTCTATAATTAAGATATTTCTCGAAATTAGTCAGTTAAACAAATGTGATTTTTGTCCCATCTCTCAATCTTAATGTGGGCTGATTATGATTATTTATAGATGGTAATAAGTTATTTTGTTTAGCATACCGAGATGAGATAAATATTTCACTTGTGATCCCTTGCTCTGAGCGCCTTTGGCTAGGACTTGATGATTGATAAGAAGTTGGTAAAATCGTTTCTTGTCTAGTAGGTGAAATATAAGCTGGCTCGAAATTTGAAGCATTTGGCATAGTATCTTTTGCTTTAGATTGTGCATAATTTTCATAGCTAGCCGTAAAATTTCCATCAATATCATATGATACTGATACCAATTTATCCTTTTCTAAATGTGGAGTAGATTGGGATGAAAGCTCTAGCTGAAGACGATTAATTTTAGCCTCTTCTTGTAATATGAATTATTTATATTGCCAGATCTGAAATTCCCTTCTATCAATAGTTTGGAGAATTTCATTTCTTCTTACATATTCATTCGAAATAGTATTTCCATAAATACATCTTTTCAAGTGGCTATCATGACTGCAATGGTTGCTATAAAAGTTTCAGGTATGAAAACTAAGGAGTCACATACACTATAATATATATAATTTGTTCGATTATTGTGGACTTTATCATTTTCATAAAGCTTTCCATACATTAAGATATATCCATTCTTAAAAAGGATTCTTGGATTCTCTTTAAGTATTTTTCTAAATGGACCACAGATACAGGAGCATCACATTTCTAGTATTTCGTGATCACGTCTTTTTGTTAAAGGCAATATTGCATCAAGTATTCTTATATATTCTTCAGAGCCTCCATAAGTATTGTTTGCATCAATTAGCTTAGAATAGGTTCTACTATCTAAATCCATAATAGTGTTGTAGTAGATTATAACAGATTATAATGATTTTATAGTGTTTTTAGTAATTTTAGCCGATTTAGCAATATTATACTCTAATAAATATCAGATTCAAATTTATACAGATTTGCTGATTAAGCAGTTTTAATTATTTATAGCGGTTTTATTGATTTATAGCCGATTTAGAGAAACTACACACCACTAAATCCAAATTCATTTTTATTCGATTGGGATTTATATAGGGCTATCTCTCGGGCTAAGCTAATTTTATATTTACATATATGCATATGCACAACGCCTTACAAAGTGCCTAAATGGCTCGGCTAAATTGGTTTGTGACATGATGTACTGTATATCGTATCACATGAGATCTCCCTAGTTCCTAGTCGGTTCCTGGCACTTTCTCGCAACTTAAATTACGGGATGAGTTACAGATCAGCATTGCGTTGCCAATCAGATTTTGCGCACGCAGTAACTAAGCCACTATTATTTATTATTCGATTAATCATCAATTCATCATTATATTTTTCAGCCTTAATATAATTACGACGCTAATTTTATTTACAGCTCAGTTGAACTATGTCACTTATAAGCAAGCCCTTTTCGCTTATCCGCTACATCACTTCTCTGCTTTTCATAAAACATTTCTAAACCGTAAAAATGTCTTTAGAGTGGAACGAAAAAGAAACTCATTTTCTTATTGACGAACGGAAAAATGGTAATGAAGAATACTATCAGACCCCTAAACATAACAAGAGAATCTTCTGGAAAGAAATAGCAAATAGACTTAACCAAATACATAATACGAACTATTTCACCGGAGAAGGCTGTAACAAGAAATTCCTAACCCTAACTCGGGCTTGCTATGTAAGTAATATAATAATTGCGAACATACCGCCTAGTCTGACTCTGATCTAATATGATATATGTAGACAACTAAGGCCTATAAGAAAGGAAGTAAAAAAAAGAGGAGCCTAGTTGGAGAACAATATTATGCTGAGTTTTCATCTGAATTTTGGAAAGATCCCGGTAACCTTTATTGTGATAAGATTCTTCGTTTGAAAAGTTATATTAAAAAATGTTTATTGATTTTAAGAGCACCACCTCCCAGCGTAGTAACATTATCATCACCTAATACACCGAAAAGATCTCAACCATCGCAAATCCTAAGACCAAATTCACAAGTGCCCACTTCTGCTAATACTGCCAGAATCGCTTCAAAACCCTCTCGAGTAACTCCTTCACCTAATATATTTCGTCCAACGACACCTGCCGTATCAAGACCATCCTCTAGACCAGTAACACCATCCTTTTCTCAAAACGCCAAAACTATTAATCTTTTTATTAATTTCATTGAACCGGATGAGAAATAGGATGTATTTTACTTTGCTGTTAGTAGGATACAAAAGTAAATGTAATAAATATCACTTGTAAAGCACAAAGCATGTTTTAAAAAATTCGAAATAAAAGATCAATCATTATTATATTTTGTAAAACAATATACGATGGGAAAGTGCCAGCTGGCTAGATCAGTTTGAGGCATGACGTATATTGCATACAGGTCTCACCTAAATCCCTGCCAGTTCTTCGATAGTTCTAGGAGAGTTCCAGGCGCTGGCGAGTTTCTATAAATCACGAGATGATCGGCCAATCAGATTTTCTGTAGCAACTAAGCACGGATAATTATATCTCCTATTTTTTCTGATGGTAGAGTCTAAACTGCTTGTCCAAGTTGGAAAAATTGCGCAGAAGCGGGATCAGCATCCGGTTAATTTTTTCTCCGAAACCTACATTTTTTCTGATGTAAGCATGGGATCAGTGTCAGGTTAAATTTATCTTCCGAAACAGCCGAATATCTGATGGCAGAGTCTGGACTGCTTGTCCAGGCTTGTCAAAATTGTGCAGAAGAATGAATCATGTGGTGTAGTATAGTATAATTTATGGCGCAGTAGTTTGCAAAATTATTTACATATTCCAAATATAACACACATACACATTCGCAAAGCAAATAAAAATATAAGCTTGGAGGCGAACTTTATTAATACGATTAAATATTAGAATACATATTTTTCAGATGGCTGAGGCTGGACAAGCTTGTCCGAGCTCATCAAACCGTCTGCGTTAAAACTTCAGCCATTATATATTTGGTTTCATCTATAGTTAGATTTAAGACATATGATGAGAGAATAGATCTGTTCTGAGCTATTTTTTCTTTACCTATGGTATTAAAAAGTTTATACATCTTTCCAGATCTCTCTGTCTTTTTTCGCAAAGCTTCATCAGAGCATTTTGTCTCAGGAATCACCACCCTAACCTCTTTTTTAACTATCGCTTCAGATCCATCCTTGCTAAACTCAGGTTTTAATTTCTTGTATCACTTAAATACAGCTTTCCAAAATTAAAATAACTGAAAATGAGTCCTCGAGATGCTTCTTCGTTTTTAGTTTCAGCATGATCAATCCTTTCAGAGAGTTGTAAAAAGTTACTTGCGCTTTCACCTATTTCTTCCAAGCTCCTACCACCATCAGGAATATCAGTTAATAATTCTTTGATAAGTTATTTTAGCGTGCTTGATACCTTCTTCTTCCTACCAGTTTTTTTCGCTTTCTTGCTAGACGATTTTTCAGTAGATGCGGATGATTCCTGGTACGTTTTTTCTGTACATCACTTAGATCGAGTTCTACTAGAGTTGATACCTCTGACATCATTTCAGACGAAGGGCAAGTAGGACACATCTTGTGAGAATTCTTGACGTAATCGTAATGCACAACATACTTGCAGGGTAAAAAATGGTTGGTTTCGTGAATTCTAGGGAGATTTCTTCAGAGCATTTTTCACATATAGGACGTTAGATCTGACCACTAGTGTCCTTTAAAATCAACTCATCCAAATTGTCGGAATTACCGGGTGTAGTGCTAACAACCTCAATAGGGCTGGTTGCCTGGTCAGAACTTTCTTTAGTGACGTCAGTAATCTTGGATAAACTTTGCTCTTTTCCGCCTAATAATCCTAGTTCGTTCATTAGTGTTACATCATCATCCACAGGAGTTTAATTTTCCGAATCTACTGGCTTAGTGACATCTGCAGTTGAGGATGTAGGTTTGGCCATTTCCTTAAAAAGATCTTGAGCTATTAGAGTTTCGATCTCTCTGTCTTTACAATCCCAATTTGGACACATTAGCTTGGCTCTTATTTTCGCTATATTCAGGATATATCCTTCGAGACACTTTTGGTGATAAAGACAACCACAGGTGGCCATAGTAAATTCTTTGATTGGCTCATCCGGATGTGAGATGAACTTTTGTTTACATAAATGCATAGTTTCATCTCCGGAAGATGAATGCTGATAGAATGAATCATACTATCTGTGCTGAGTAAATTTAGCACTAGAGCAGTGATTTGAGATTTGTTCATACCACTCGCCTTATCGGTCATATCACTACTTTGAGTAGAGATATCCTCCATATTGATATCCTCAGCAGTAAGTGGGTTTTTGACATCCGTATTAACAGAGCTCTCTTGGTTTTCCATACCTGCCCACTTATCACTCTTGTGGTCAGAAAAAAATAGCCATCTTGCTGAATTAAAGACGGGTTTTTATATCACTTGTAAATTTCGCAGGAGAAAACATTCTTCAGATTTTCACCAGCAATTACGCACTGCATTTTCGTCATTTGTTAATCCCTTGCAAATCAATAAAAATGACGAAGGATTAGCATACACATCCCCAAATCTCATGCGAAATAATGATTGCTAAAAAAACTATCTTTATTCGAATGTTGTTTTATTGATATAATAATAGCGTAGCCGGAGATACGATATGCAAAAATAATGCGCAAATCAAAGTCAGAAAAAATAATATGAATATATATATGCAAATCTTATATCGCATAGCCCCTATTCTTTGGCAAGTGTTTTTCCGATATCATACTGCGCGAAGTTTATAATACACTATAATAAAATGATTATATATAAAAATAAATGTATCTTTATGCAATTACCCATCTATGTGAAAAATAGCATATTCAGCAAATACTAATTCTTTATTAATTTTTAATCGAAAATCAAAGATGATCATTACTTTAGCAGTAACTATTATTAGCAATACATTAAAAATAAAGATTCATATTATTTAATCTAAAATTAATCTATAATTGATTAACTATAACATAAACGTCAAAACAACCTTTTAATATCTTCAAGTAATTTATCATAATTCAAATCCTTGGCATCAGAACTGATTATGTCCCACCATTCGGATTTTCCATTAACAGCCCAAAAATCTAATATATCTTGCACTCGTCTTTTAAAGTTTTCTGGAGTCATATCAAAAGAGATCCTTTCAATCGATGATGGTTGATGAAGCATCAGGTAAAGTGACCAGACCAGATATATCAAATCAATTGTTGGACCATAATTAATTTGTTCATTATTAATTAATGATCGAAGGACATTATCAGGCATACATTTAAGAGCTTCTGCAAATGGCGCGTTTTCACCTTGTATTTTACAATTATCCCAATCAGTAATTAAAATGTTACAATCATCATCACGAAGGAAGTTATACTTTCGAAGATCTATATGTACAAGCTGGAAATTTGAATGTACCGTCTTAAGGGTTTCAATGATGTTTTCAATATCTTTAATTTGTAGGTTATTGACTTTAGTGCATAGAGGAGTCATAATAAGAGTATCATCGTTACTCAGAAGAAGTTTTAGAAGATAAGGTGAATTCAGATCCAATAATCTAGTCAATACATTCTTTTCGTTGATAAAGCAAGATAAGTATTCTTCCCTTTTTGCTTTTTTTACGACTACAGAACTTTTCCTATTCTCAAGAATTCCCTCATACACAATGCTAGTTCTACTTGAACTAATAGATCGAACCAATGTTACAGTATTTTCATCAAGATTTATTGAAGGTTCAACCCATCCCAGCTGATCCGGAGAATTTTGCATGATTGTCACCAAATATTTCCATCTGTTCGGAGGTTTGGCAGTGTTATATGTTAATGACTCGGACGCTGTGTATCTATATGAGAATTGATTATTGCCTTCTCTAGTTATTCTGTAGATTCGTATGTTAATACAATCTGTCAACACTGCATATACATGTTGTCGTCATGGTTGAAGCTGAAGCACTTTTTCACTAAATGCTACTGCATGTCCTATATCAGCATTTTTAAAATTATTACCGGTTCGCTTTCTTATTTCACCGACAGCTACAACATTTAATAGATCTAGAGGCCTTCCTTTTTGAATGAATACAAAATCTGGTTTTCGAGTATTCAGCAATGGTGTAGAATGTGTATCTCTAACATAAAGTTGTATCTCTGGTAATGCTTTTAATGCCGTACATTCATCCATGAAGTATTCTTGTATTTCATTCTCACTTGGTTTCGCGTTTGAAAGATGAGTGGTTTCTGAAACATTTCATGTGAATTTCGCCTACGAATTTGGATCAGTTGGAGTGAGAAGAACTTCATTTCTTTACCATTAGTCATTACCCATTAGCCTTTATCAGTTTCCGTATCAATACCTAAAGACAAAGACATATGTAATTGAATGGCATTTGCAAAGCATTGTTTATGGATCGAAAGAACAACATATCAGGTGAACTGAGCCATGCTTCTGCAAATAACGTACTTTTATCACCTCACGTCTAAGTTCGCTTACTTCTTCTTTGAAGACTTTCTCAATATGTCTTTTTAAAGATTCTGCAAGATAGGAAAATGAGACATTGTGAAACAAATAAAAACATAACAGAAAATTACCTTGTTCTTGATTACCACCTAAGAAAATGACAGCAAAAAAAAATCAGTATATATTTGGAATATCCAATATTATTGTGAAAGAAAGATCAAGCCATTTCACGTTCACTCGCATTGACTAAATATATTACGACTCACTTACCAGCATTGGGTTGCTCTACGATAACGCAAATGTGTGTTTTGGGCGGGTTTGACGATAAGAAGCAGGAAAGAAAAGCACAAGAATAAGTAAGTATTCAGTATTATTGGCGAATA